TGGTTTAACCAGTACGAAATGAATAAATGTTAACGTAACAGGATTATCCAGTCCTACAATTGCAGTGAGTGGGGGCACATTAGGAACTGTGTGACCTCAATGTTAACGAGTGCCCCGGTACTATCGGGTGTATGGGACTTTAACATGGGTGATTTACTCTAGGGTCAATGGAAATTGAAGGTATAGCGACAATGGATTGGGCTTGCCTAGGGTCAATAGGAATTGGAGAGGGGTCACGTCAAGGTCATGGACACTGGCTAATATAAATGCGTGCTACTCTACGGGCAAAAAGAGACAGAGATATAGAGGCGTGGTTAGAGACAGGGTTAGAGACATAGAAACATAGACATACATCACAAAAATCGACTAAAATATTTTAGGCAAGAAAGAATAAACATCTTCTAGAGGCAAGGGAGTGGTCCTGAAAAAGGTATTTTGGTTATGTTAACACCAATCACTTATAACAGAGTATTGCACGCATCATCTTCTCTTTCCAGAGAGCTCCTGTGATACCACATTTCCTACAATGTTACAAAGTTAGAACACGACGAAATGTAAGAAGATGATGATTTGGGGTGCACCAGACGAGAAGTGATGGCTTTCTTCGTCTTCTTCGAACATGTCGCCGAAGGTGACCAGATGTGCTTGACTGAGATAAGACACGATCCCGTCGTCTCCGCGAAGAATGTCTTCCACAAACTCGATGGCATCGCGTTGACTTTTTCTCGCAGGAGACTTACGCCGATGGCCACAATTTAGAATACCACATGATACGCTGATGTGAGCGATCGATTAAATGATTTTTATGTTCGATAAAGCGTTTGACAAATTCGGTTTTGCCTAAATCGCTCGGTTAAGAAAATAATATGTTAAAGGGATGAAGAAGATACAAGGCCTCCCAACTAGCACGATGTAAGTTTTCGTCGATGACATTGAAAATGGTGGCAGAAGGCGAAGAGACACCAGAGGTAGCCATAGTGAAGGGAATGTCACTTTTAAAAAGAAGACAGACATGAGAAGAATTTTTTTTTACATTTTAGGCCTCCTTTATTTCAAAACATTTTTAAAATTAAACACGAAAGACAAAATAAATAAAAGCAAAATTATGATGTACATATATAAAATACACACCTAAACGATCAAAGTGGAATATAAACAAGTAACTATACAACAGTTTTGGTGTCCTCAGAAAACAGTAATGATCTTAGAAGCACTACCCTTGGCAGAGTCACACCGGGATTCTCCCGGAATGGCGTTTCGGGTATCTCCTTGTCAATGATGATCTTGTCTTGAATGAAGTGATTTTTCTCGGTGTCGGATTCTTCTTCTGACACTGTGGCTAACACAGGTTTAAAAGTTACGATTTTCACTAAACGTTTGAATTTATAACCACAAATCTTGGGCAAAGATTTCCGCTTGTTTTGCACAAGTCTCGAATCCCAAACTTTTTCCAGTCAAGAAACATCTAGCTAGCACGGTTGTAAATCAGAAGCTACACACACATCTTCCTAAACATCTTCAGTGACTAAAAGTTAAGGAATATTTTCCCGTAGTTGTCGAGAAGTAAAGAGCTGAAAGAGTAAGGCTTTAAACAGAATGAGTCTCTCGTGTACATTTAAAGATTACCATCCTCATGTTTTTCGTGGTAAGGTTAGGTACAGATCGTAAAAAGCCCACAAGGAATCGGCGGGCAAAGGAAATCCTAGATAGGCAGTCTCTAAAACACACAACACATGTCGACCCATATTTATTGCATATAGTTCTCGTAAAAAGTGTTGGTAATCCGTCACAGGCAGAGTATTATCGTTGATTTCCTTCAACGACAATTGTTGTATCACTAGTGATAAGGGTCGTGGCATGGCAGCAAGCTTTTATAACTCTTGTTGTCGGAGGTAATAAGTGTACGTTTTGCACAAAACTGATCGTACTCCGTCGATGTATCCAAAGAGATCAGTCACTAGTTCACACATCACACAGCATTCAAAATATTCCTCTACAGAAAAATGTGATGGGGTAAATGACAATCCTCTAAGACTTCCTCTGGAATTTGTAGAAGTGTGGACACTACATAAGTCGAGTCAGTAGCAACTAAAGTCTTATGACCCTTGGATAGTTGATAAATTTTTGACCATATGAACTCTTTCAAATGAACCAGTCTTCTTATAGCATTCAGGTACCAGTGGTTCCAACATTGGTGACGTAACAGATGCAATTGTTCTTTGCATTTGACTTGTAATTGAGATCTCACAACTCCACAGGAAAACCACAAATACTCCCTTGTATGATGACAAATATCGACTTGTCCGTAAGGGAAATTGAAGTGGCTGGGAATATGATTTGATAGTTTTTTTTCCAAAGTCCGACTGAGCGTGGCTAAACTTACAATCTTGTGAGTCTCGTAGTTGGTCACTCTAAGATCTCTATCCTCACCCGATTACAAGGCTTCTTTCAATATTACAAAGTTCACAACTTCACTGGTGCGATAATTGAGAGTCAATAGTCTCACTTTACTCTTGGTATGCATTTCTCCCTGGGGGTTACGGTATTCATAGGCGTAATTTTTGGGACCGCCACTAACAAAACTAGGAATCCTTTTGTCGGGGTGCCTGCCAGCCTAGGCTCCTAAGGTTAATCGTTTGACTGTGTATGACAGTTAGGGTGTTTTTGGGCTTGAATCGTTTACGGTACAATATCGAACACGCTTTGGCAATAATGCAGGTTTTCTTCAAAGGATTGATCTATCCGTGTTTCATTAACAAATCCCGAAAATTTCCACAGCATCGCCGTAAAATGTCCACATCACAATGATAATACTTTAATATTTCTTTCTGAAAGCCGAAAGGTTTCGAAGCGTGAGAGTTGTACCGAGCGTAGAAAGCTTCTCGTTGTTTGATGAGCATGTTGTCGGGGTCGTAGCAGTGAGCATCAGGCAAATTGAGTCAAACGGCGACTTGACTGGCTTCTGTATTAAAATAGTGCGGCAAATAACCTTTTGTCATTTCAAACGTTTTCAGCATTCGACTCAAATGAATGGCGAACTAAGTCATCGAATCTTTAAACTGCACGTCTCACGAAAATGATTTTGAATCCGCTCAAAGTGACTTTCGGGTATTCGGTGCTTTTTCTGTATAGTACTTAAAAAGAATCTGTCCATCGTATCCCAAGAAATTGCGATGCCATTTTCCGTAATGTTCGATTTCCTCTTGACTCCACGTTGGGCAATATCGGTCATCGTGTTTGGTCACCAAAACATTTTTAAGTACTCCAGGAATCTTACTACAGTGAGGATTATGAAAAAAAAATTGGTTCTTTGAAGCACTTCTCTCACTCTCGATAAACCACGCAGAAATTAGTAACATAAATGCCAGTATCTTGCATCATTCTAAATTGAAAAAAGATAAAATATCCTTTCTTCTTGTGGACATCTTCTTCATCCTCCTGCTGTTGTAGTTTCTATTTTTGAATGCAGCATTCGTGTTCCAAGTCCACGATATGATGCCAAAATGTGACTTCGTTTCCTTCATGGACAAAAGCGTGCCTTGCCACTATTGGTACGTATGACTTGTACACAAGCAGAACAACATTGCATGAGTTGACCAGCACTTTTCCGCTGTTAACCTTGCGTCTTTACAACAGGTTGGGCTGACAAATGTTCGCTGACATTCTGATCATTGAATCCGTTTTATCCTTCGTCAAGACAGGGTTTAGAGGCAAACCATCCTGGACATTTCGATCCGCAATGCTTGTGTTGCTCTCGACTGTTATACCTATAGTCAATTTCTCACAGTATTAACTGTATTCCATGAATCCGGTGATACGGATAATGGTATCAAAATGTTCGTGGTGATGATAGTCGTGAATTTATTTTCCGTCTTTGAAATCTTTGATATGAAACAACAGAGATGAGCACACTTTTTGTGGGTATTCATTCAAGGTGTAGCGTTGAGCCAAGATGTCTTGCAACATTTGTATTTCAGGAATGCCTCAGGGTGTCTTCGTGGATAGGCCAGCTTGCTGTAGCAGGAGTTCTGCTCCTCTTTGTTGTTTGGCTCGTTCAATTGTCGACTGTTATCCCAGGCTCTTTTTCATCAATTCTGCCGTGTTGTTCTTGTCGGCATACGTACGCCCCACCACGATGGCACTGGCTAAACACATCTTATCTTGAGGGTTGTTAATTTGAACCAGGATTTTTTTGGTACTGTGAAAGTCCACGTATAGTGTCGTTTTTCCATCGGTGATGTGAAACTTGTAATTGGACTGCTGCACGTGTTGAATCTTGTCGATGACTTTGGAAGGTGCCATTTCTAATGGCCTGCTAATATCGATCAGACTGTCGTGATAAATGCAAAGTATCAAACTATCCTCTTCTTTGGCTTCATATTGCCGTTTCAGTGTGGTTAAGAAAGAATCCCACAAATAGGCGATCAACTCTTCAGCATTCTGCAACGGTACTTCGGACTTGAAATCTTTAAACATCACTGTGTTCTTTGGTTCGACGTAGACTCTCTAGATCTGGATTCTGATTTGAATCGTGTCATCTTTGAAGTTGCTGGCATGAATCTGAGTCAAGATTTTAGCTGCTGTGGGAGGCGATAGGTCATGTTTCTGCCTCTTACTTTCTTCTCCTTTTTTCACGAAATGATGTGATGGTTTCATCTTGTTTGCAAAAAGTCAAATGAATACATTTTAAACGTCATATGCTCCTATATATCAATGGTTTCCTATATTAAGGGTCGTCCATCAAAGTATTCATTTCACTCTCAATAATGCCATATGTTTGCAATTTAGATTTTTAACGAAGTTTTAACAATTTTTAAATCATATCACTACGATGTGACAGTTTATAGTGATGTCTAGCACTAGGGCATCATGCCGGTAAACATGTTGCATGATGTTCCACCCAGTCACAACATCCTATCCTGACTCCAGGCCAACCAGTCCTAACACTAACCTCTTAATGTTGAGCGCCATGAGGGGAAGCTGTTAGTACCATTTTGTAAAATCTCGGACGGAATTCGAACCTGCGTCCTACCGCATCCGAGGCCGTCGCTCTAACCACAGGGGCACCGCAGCGGTACTCTCAATGGTACCAGAAAAATGGAAGAGGTAACATAGATCGAACTTCTGATCAGAGCTTTGCGAGGTGTCATGCAAAGGTTTTCTTCAGAGAAGCCGACGGAATACTCTCCTTCTTTTGAGATAAATGTCAAGATACTTGTTATATAAGCCAGAAAAAAGGGCATAGGTCTTTTGAATGTCAACAACGTCAAAGCAATACTGGCATTAAGAGAGAGACAGTTGTCAAGATACCTATCATCATTGACAAGAGAAAAGACACTGGTCTTTAGACTGCCCTAAAAAAAACAGGAGCTGAATGGGAGGGGTTTCAAACAGAAAAAAGAGGTATCCCCTAAACGGAGAAAGCAGTCACATCCAGAAAGATAAGAAAAAGCGACCTGAACAAAGTGAGGAAAAGAATAAAAAGCTGAGAGAGTAAAGAAATTCATAAATAGGAGAGAGTATAATGACAAAGAAGTCTATACATTTTTAAGGTGTTGTGTTGTGAAATTAGATTGAAACGTTATACTAGAGCATATACCAAATATAAAAAGTAAGGTTATCTTGGTTTTGATTCTTATGATAAGAACCTAGACTCACGCAGTCATAGACATATATCATGGGCAAAAATGGATTTAGAGTTTTAATTGATTTATGTAAATATTGGGTAGTCTTTTTTCAAGATAGATATGTGGTCCTGGATGGGACCATTGGGTATTTTTTTGTATTGTGGGTGGGGGTTTGGGGTTTTTTTAAACAAACAAAACAAAGTCAGGAACGGGAAGTCATCAGCTTTAACTGCCTTTTCCATTTTCCATGGCCGGGACTACTTATTGACCCGCTAATGTTGATAATTTGATAGAGATCACTCGTGTTGATATCTATGGTGTTGTAGGTGTGTAGACGGGGTTGGAATATTTGGCTCGGAAAGGACTTTTTTCTCTTGGGTCATATTAAAGAAGTCTTATACATTCTTTCCGACCCCTTAATTCTGCCAAAATGTCTTAGAGTACTGTCACCGTTTGACTTTCACAGTCCTCCATCTCTCGCAAGCCTTTTATCTTCTCTGCTTCTTCTTCTTCATCATCATCATCATCATCATCATCTTCATCTTCTTCTTCTTCTTCTTCTTCTTCTTCTTCTTCTTCTTCTTCTTCTTCTTCTTCTTCTTCATCCTGTTGTGTTCTTCTTGTAACTTCTCACAATTGCTGTTTTACGAGGAAGGCTTCTTTTGTTTTTTTCTGCTGTTGCAAAAATTGCTCCACTTTTTCTTTCTTTGTTTAAAATGCTCAACGTACGGCGAGGAAGGAGAGGGTGGCGAATTTTCTGGTATCGGAACAAATTCTTGTGAAAAAGTGTGTAAATCCAATAAATGCTATCTAAAATCTATCTGTCCTGGAAGTAATAATGTGTTTGCTTTGGTAGCCACCGCTATGTCATCACTTGTCGTCTCCACGACCGGTGCATTGAAATATCATCCTCTTCTTACTTTCCTTCATGTTCTAACTCTGTAGCATTGCTTCACTGAGCACAGATGCTAGCACATCTGTATAAGGAATGTGATGTCACAGGCAGCTATCTCCGAAGACAGACTCCCCACTATGACTGAATTTTTTAACGCGTATTAGGACTGGTGAAAGAACTCAATTCGTTTCGACCCGCTCTTCCACTTTAAATAACCGCGGTTTGCTTCATTCTATTCATCTTTTCTTCTTCACAAGATATTGACTAATGTAGAATCGTTCCGCCCAGAATAGCCCATGTATGTCATATCATCATGGGCAATTGCCCAAATCACAGAGACAGACCTTCGGAAACGAAGAATCTATGTGGAGAGGCCAGACTGTCTAAAAAGAGTCCTTATCTACGGTCCAGAGGTCAGACGAAGATTGAAAAAGAGAAGATGATCCGTGTGATACCTTATATATTAATTGAATGGTGTTAAAGCAACCGACGACCTTTATCAGGGCCACACCCTTGCCTCGAGAAGATGTCTATTATCTCTTGCCTAAACTGTTTTAGTCGATTTTTTTGTGTGATAGATTTATGCTCATAAGTCTATGTATGTCTTTATCTCTGTCTCTAGCCCTGTCTCTAACCATGTCTCTATGTCTCTATTTCCCACTAGAGTAGCGCGCATTCAGGTCAGCTCCTTGCCACATTGTTCCGCCCGATTGAGGTCAGCCACTTGCAACATTGTTGCCATTGTCGCTAGGCATTCACTATGTTCAATTTCCATTGACCCTAGAGTATCCCACCTATGTTTAAGTCCCATACACCCGATAGTACCGAGGCACTCATGGAAGTCCCACATACCCTAATGTGCCCCCACTCAATGCTAGCATAGGACTTTATAATCTTGTATAATCTTGTTACTGCCTGCATAATCTTGTTACTGTAACATTTATTCATTTCGTCCTGGTCAAACCATTCTTAGTCGAATGGCCTCTATCCCACAGAACCATCCGTAAAACAATGTAGTCATTACAGGAATTTGAATTAGTCATATTTATATAACCCACCCACATATATTATATTAATTCTGATCTATTTGTATTACCAAGCATTCTCCTGTAGAATCCAGGGATAGAACTTTCCATTCTGATTTGTGTGTATTTGTAATCATCTATAAATCGTTTTCATAAATCTATGAGTTTACCTAGCGGGGTTCAAATCCGCGATCTACGTATCCAAGGCAGACGTTCTAATAACTGCAGCTTGTTTGTGTGAGAGAGGAATGCATTAGTGAACAATTGAAGGAAGAGTACAGGAAGGTGGATTCAGCTTTTCGATCGAATTTTTTTGTACATATATTTCTTACCTTTCTTATAGCATTTCTTTTGTTTGCTTCTCTCTCTCTCTCTCTCTCTCTCTCTCTCTCTCTCTCTCTCTCTCTCTCTCTCTCTCTCTCTCTCTCTCTCTCTCTCTCTCACACACACACACACACACACAAACACACACACACGCGCGCGCGCACCACAAATAAGTACACACAAACCACAATCAGTTTCTTTCCGTTCTAGTTGATTAGCTTTTGTTCAGTCGCCAACGAGAGTAAGACTCTAAAATATATGGTACGCCGGGGAGCACTGACGTCATTAATCAATGTTCCACTTTGTAAAGCAGCGTTTAAAATTACACGAACTGGCATCTCACAGCCGAACCAAGGGTTTACTAAAATTTATAATGTCGGAAATAACACACGAGAAATTGGTAGTCATATAATAATTTTCAATTATTTCAATCATTTCAATTTATGACGAAGGATGAAACTTGAAATCAACCTCACAACAATCAAATAAAGAGCTTTTGGCCTACAACAAAATTAAATACTCTTTAAAATTATTTTTCTTGATTCACAGTCCTAATTTTGACAAAAATATGAAATAATTAAAGGCACATGGTTAAGCATATGAATAATTACACCTGCATATATTTTTAAATAATTATCTCAGTTTAAACATATTTCATTGAACAAAATTTCAATAAATACTAAATATTAGATTAGGAATGAAAACAAGTTGCACAAATTATAATTTGTCTTCACGATATTATATATATATATATATATATATATATATATATATATATATATATATATATATATATATATATATATATATATAGAGAGAGAGAGAGAGAGAGAGAGAGAGAGAGAGAGAGAGAGAGAGAGAAATTACAAAATGCATCAAACTGAACGTAAACATTTATCCTTGTTACTAAAGCAGAATGCTTGATAATGCTAACATAATTATTATAAATACTAAGAAATAGGATTATCATGCATAACATCGAGTGTAAATTGGTACTATAAGCATATTCAAGCCCGGTTCCACGGGCAAACAGCACCCATTGCCTTGCCTGTTATAACTGACTGCTGTAACATCTCAACTCGACATATTAGCTCTATAGATAGAAGATCAAATGAAACATTTTAAAAGTGTGAGAGACAGAGTGAGAAAGAAAGAGACATGCATTAATAACATCAAAAAAAATAAAACTATGGATATTTAGTATCATTTCTTTCTGCAGTACATGCATCATTTGCAAAAAGTTTCGGCCATAAAGGAAAACAAGTGCAATAAATACCAGACCGATAATGAAAATTTGACGAATTGACGAATTTAGCTCATTCTTATTACCTAAGAGTCTTACCGTGTTTAAACAACACAATTTGAAGGTAAATTGGTACTTGAAAATGTCATTGTATTGTACCGATAACTGGGAAGTAGCATCTGTCCGGGAAAGGCGAAGCTTGTATAAAAGCATTAAGATTCGAGGTAGATCTTCATCATTCAAGACATTGCTCTGAACATCACAAGGAACATGATTCTCACAGCTCTGCTGCTAGCATTGGTTGCTGCCACTGGTAAGTCTCTCTCTCTCTCTCTCTCTCTCTCTCTCTCTCTCTCTCTCTCTCTCTCTCTCTCTCTCTCTCTCTCTCTCTCACTCTCTCTCTCTCTCTCTCTCTCTCTCTCTCTCTCTCTCTCTCTCTCTCTCTCTCTCTCTCTCTCTCTCTCTCTCTCTCTCTCTCTCTCTGTGGATAAACTTTGTTTTTGGAGACCATATAATTTTTATATTTATGTGGAAGATAAAATGAAACTCGAAATACAATACCCATCGTTAAAATAATATCATCTGCGTACAGTTATAATGAATTCATAATATACATCTCCTTAAGAATGGGTCTTTATTTTTAAACGTTCTTTTACCTATGAAACCAGATTGCATATATTTCCTCTTTATAATTCTTATTTGTACCAGTAAATTATATTTTACTGGGTATTTTGTTTGTACCTAATATATTTTTCACCTCCAGGCTTCGCCGAAGTGGTACCGGAACATTTCTACCAAGGCCGGATTGTGGGAGGGTCAGAAGCATCCCCAGGGCAGTATCCCTGGCAGGTGTGTGACTTAGCCTAGACTTTCAAACTTATACTTGCAGAAAATTTTAGATTTTACGTAAACATCCATACAAATTAAATAGTAGCGAAAAAGCGACCGTCTCCATTAAG